CCCTGTCTTGTTGTTCTGGCACAGGCAGTTACCCGGAGGTTCGTCGTCACTTAACGTTTAACTCCCCATGGAAATAATTGTGGCTATTGCATCAAATCCCGGAGCCCCTCAGCAGCCCTTCATGTGCTGAGAAATGCTCTGTTCTCGATGGTCTCAAGCCTGGCACAGACAAAGACGTCAGACAAAGCCGTGGCAGCCGCGTCTCGGCAGCGCCAGGAGCACAGCAGGCAGGGAGCTGGGAACGAGGAGAGGAAGCTGTGCTGGGAAAATAGTTGTTGGTTTCCTGTAAATGGTGTATTCAAAGCCTGCAGGCTCAGCTGGCAGGTGGGGTGCTGCAGCTCCCTGCTCCTGGCTGCCTCCAGAAATGCCCATATTTATACTTCTCATTAAATCCTGAGAGCTTTGCAGCACAGGGTTCCATGCTTGCAGTTGTTAAAATGAAGTGTTTTCAGGCTTCAAAGCTCCAGTTTTTGAATAGGCAAGTTTTGTCCTTCATAGGCCTTTCAGAAATATTGGGGTCAGGGAGCATCCAGCTGCCTTGCTTTTCCTTAGGCTGTTCTCTGTGATCCTAATCTTCCGTAAAGTTTGTCTGTGGACTAAGATTTGAGGCTTTAACTGGTTTTATTTGGTGTGTGAATTGTGTACGTGTGAAGTTTGTTACTCATGAGTATGTTAATTATTAAAACTATTCTCTGTTCTATTGTGTGATTTGTTTGTTTCATCAGTGTTTGTGTGACCAGCTATATTGATTTAATCAGTTATATTTGAGCTATTTTTATTTTAACTAATAGGAACCTTTGTTCCTTGCTTTTCTAAAGAAATGGCTGCATGTTCTTGTTGTTTTAACTGGCTTACAGTGCCTGAAAATTGCTTTGGGTTGAGTCAAACTATAGCCAAGAAAAACTCATTGTGGCCAAGTTGCATCTGCTTGTGCAGACACTGAGATTTCCCAGATGAAGTCTGTGTGCCCTGCACAGGCAAACCCTGAGGGGTGGCAAGAGGCTCTGAAAGGTGACAGGACTCTGCTAAATTTGGCTAAATTTGACACTGCTCACTGTTGGTGTCTTACAGCCTGGGCTCTGTGCTCTTGGGCTTTGCCATTTTCCTGACTGGGCTCTGCATAGACTCTTCAATGTTTCTTTTGCCATAAACAGCTTTCACACATATATTTTGTGGCTAAAAAGATAGCCCTGTTTATCTCTCAGGCTTCACTCCGAGGTGTCACTCAAGGTAGACTGTGCAAAACTCATTCCTCTCTTCTGTGCTGCTCAGTGGAGCATATAATTAACTGCAGTAATATCTGACACCTCCTGAGAGTATCTGAGTAAGCTCATAGGTCTCTGGCTGGGAGAGGTATGTACTGAGCTTGGGCAATTTTTGCTGTGTTATTCATATTTTTTTTGGCTTGCACTCTGAGGCTCCTTCCTCCCCAGGAGCTCAGGGTTGGTTTTTTTTTAGCACCAGAGTTCATACTGTGAAGCAGAGGGTGGAGGCTGGAGTCAGTTCTGAGTACCCCATCCTGCCACACTGCATGTGAAAACTCAGACTGAGAGTTTGTACTACAGTGGATCTCAGAGTGTTCACCACTGTTATGTTTTCACTTAGAAATAACAATAGCATCAAGGGTGATGCTTTTAAAGCAGCATAATTTGCATCAGCACAGTCAGCTGTCAGCCCTGGCCTTGGCAGTGTGTTGTAGATGGCAACTTGAGGTTCCTGGAAACCCTGTGATGTACTGATTGTTGTGTGGGTCTGTTTTAGGAGAATGTGTTTATTGGTCAATCCAAAATCTACAGCTACCTGAATCCTAACAAAACTCCTGGTGCTCGTCCCCCACTTCAAGAGGAGAACTCTGTCATGTATCACGAGGTGAAATGTCAGGGCAAAACACTAAAGGAGACCTACAGGAAAGGAGATGGTAAGACTGAGCTTTGGATTGCTTTTCTCATTCAGTGTTCTCCCACACCCCAGTTTGAAAGCTTTCATACACAGTCACAGCTGCTCCCCTGGCCCAGCTGCTGGCTCAGTGAGCTGTCCCACTGCTGAGGCCTTGCAGCTCATGGAGGTGCTTCATTTCTCCAGCGAGACTGGAGCATCTGTCTCAGCAGATGGGACTGTTAAACCTGGTGATTTGCTCTACATAAAACCATGATTCAGCTTTCAGCCACACTCACCTACCTCTAATCTGCTGTCTGAGGAGGAGGATGTGATTGTAGCGGGGTAGGATTCAGGCAGCCAAGGTGATGTTGGCTGTGGGGTCGAGTTCTTGTCAGTGCCAGCCCTTGGCCCCTGAGGGTTTGGTCTGAGTGGTGTTGGTACCAGCACTGATGGGCAAACTGTGCTGTTGTCCTGAACACTTCACTGAAAGTGTTGCATATTCAGGTCTGGAAAATGAGTCACAAACTAATGGTACTTGGGCTCTGTTTTACCATTTCCCTCTCTCTGCTCACCTCTCCCTCTGTACTGTAGCAATGACTAGTCAAAAGTTGAGTTAACAGTCTGTCTGGATTGTATCATTCCCCTCCTCTTTCTCCCATTTGACAGAACTAGAAACTTGAATTAGAAACCATTGGAATTAATTTAAATCACTCGGGTACAGTGGATCCTCAGTTTAGAGCTTTACTTTCTTTTTCTGTCTCCAGGAAAAAAGAATGGTGGCAATATAACTGAAGGTGCTATGAAACCAGAAGACCAGAAAGAAAAGGAAAGTGGGTGCAATCCTTCAGTGCCCTCTGATCAAAAACAAGAAACTGTAGAAACCCAAAAAACACCTCTGCTTGCAGCCTGTGCTGAGGAGGCCAATGCAAAGCCAGCCCAGAAAAAGATGGTGAAAACAAAACGTGGACCAAGGAAAAAGTAAGTGACTCCTGGAGTTGTAAAATGGGAGTTCTTTGTTTTCTCAAGGATAACATGTTTGAAAAAATGCAAACCAGCACCAAGGTATTATCTGCCTGCAGAAGATTTGTTTTTCTTGAAAGTAAGGTTAGAGTGAAATATTTGCTGATCACCTCTAGAAAAAGAAATTAATGAGCCATTAAGACCTACTTTTCTGTGGACACATGGGAATGTGTCTTGTCAGAAACAGAACAGTTGGAGACTTCCTGGCTGAGCTGATACTCTGCCTCATGGTATCACAGTAATGTGACCTAACACTAATGAATTTCTTGCCAAGCAGTTTTCACGACCCAGATTTTTGAGTGCCTTCTGGCAAGGCACACAAGGGGCTCCAGACTTGGAATGTGACCTTCAGTTGATTTCCAGTGGCATAAAATTGCTAAAGGATTAGTACTGAAGTAATAGAACTAGCATGGGGAAGGAAGGGGGATGTAGCTTTAGCTTGAAGTGTGCTCATAAGAAACACTGATTTATGTTGATCACCTTTCAACATACCAAGCTGAAGATAAAGATTTCTGACACTTCTGTCCTGGAGGTGTCACTTGACAAACAGCCTGACATGTGTGTTCTCTCTTCTTCTTACCCCTCAGAACACAAGGAAGAGCACCAAATCGAAAAGTGACAGATTATTACCCCGTTAGAAGAAGTTCCAGGAAGAGCAAATCTGAGTTGGAGGTAGAACTTCTTGTTCCAATGACATTATTTCCAACATGGTTGGTTGGTTGAGTGTTTGAGGAAGTGTGTAACTGTCTGTAAATTTGCAAATAACAAATGCAAGTAACACTGTGCACTGAAAGCATTGTTAAAAACAGATTCAGAGTTTGGAAGTGCTGGTTCAGCTCTAGAACAGAATCCAGCTGCTTACATGTTTTGGGAGGCAGAAATTTGTCTCTGCCATCCAGTTCTGCTAGAAATATGGGATGGTTTGGAATAAAGAGTGTCCCTGGCTAGTAATTTTTTTTCAGCTCTAAGTTACAAAAAGTGTCTGTGCTAACACTATGGTTGGCTAATGCTAAAATTGTGGATTTGTTCTTGTTTCTTCCGCAGACTGAGGAGAGGAGGAAAATAGATGAGCTGATTACAAGTGGGAAAGAAGAAGGAATGAAGGTAACTGCAATGCCAACCTAAGGAGCCACGTGCTCTTTATACAGTGTCTTGATGTTAATTGATTTAAGCAGAAACTATCAGAACTCAGGTAGTTTAAAAGAAAAATCAGGTAACTCTCCTCTGCATGTGGTTTGTTTGAAGTAACTCGTAATTCTCTGGTTAGAAGACTATGTCAACATAGCTGGTAACTCAGGGTGTGTCCCAATCTCACCCTGTATTTCTCCCACAGCATTGTGCTGCTACAGCTTTGCCTGCAGCACACACAGCTTCCTGCTGCAGCATTTTTTAATGCCAAAACAGGTAAATACTGCCTAATTTCCCAGGTGATTCTCTTTTCAATTCAACAGATTGATTACATCGACGGCAAAGGGAGAGGAGTAATTGCTACTAAGCATTTCACTCGGGGAGAATTTGTGGTTGAGTATCATGGGGATCTCATAGAGATCACTGATGCTAAGAAGAGAGAGGCTGTGTATGCTCAAGATCCATCCACAGGCTGCTACATGTACTATTTCCAGTACCTCAGCAAAACATACTGGTAAGCTTCTCTTCCCTCAAGTGTTGAGTGACAGAGGCTTTGAATGCTGCTAAGTTGGGTTTTTTCTTGTTTTCATGTAAATTTTTTGTTTTTAATGGGAACCCCAAATTGTGAAATCTCTGGCAGCACTGGTCCATGGTCCAACAGCCTCCTGTACATCTGGGCTGTGAGGAATGGTAGGTGACTCCAAGCCCTGTTCTCTGACGTACAGCACAAGCTATATGGAGAATTGCATCTGCTTGGATGAGACTTCTAAGCTCTACTGTGGGTTTCTGCCTAAATTTATTATTTTGTAGAATTTAATTGTTTTTTCTGAGTCGCAAAGATTTGGTTTGAAGAGCAGGATGGACAAACTCTCTGGAAGAGGCATTTCCTTCAGCTGACTTTGCCTGGGTGTCCTCCTTTCTCTAGTACTTTACAACCACCCCAGGTGCTTTGTCATTCTATTTGCTGTTTCATTTGCCCCTCAAAGCAGCTACTCCAACTAGGATCTTTCCTCCTTGGCAGATACTACTGGATACTGGAGTGTGGCTCACTTAACCTGTATGCTAATTACCTTGAAGTGCCCTGTGTTCCAGGTGTCTGACTTGCAGTCTAGATGCCATGATAACTGCCATAAAAATTTTTGTGTGCGATGAGAGGCACTAGAGCTGTAATATCCAGGTCTCTGGAAGTTGCCCATGTAGTGTTTGGGCGTTCTCAGCCTTCTGTGGGAGTGGAGACTTCTGCTGGTGTAGTCAGTGGATATACAGCTTTCCTGGGGGTGTTCCACATCTAGATTCTGCTGCTCCTCATCAACAGTTGCTTGGAAACAGGCAGCAAAAACAGTCTAAAAGTTTTCAGCTTTCTGGGTTTTGTGCTAACTTAATCTGCCAGAGTTCAGTTTCCCTGCATTGCCACATCATGTGCAGCCTGTTTGATCATATGGATGTTCTGTCATGTTAATTCTCCTTTGTTTTTCAAGCCCTATGTGGATCCTTTGCCCACAGACCCCTTGGTGTCACACACCACAGTCATGTGTTGTGTTCTTGTTCTTTCAGTGTCGTTAATTCTCCTTTGTTTTTCAAGCCCTGTGTGGATTCCTCATCCTTTGCCCACAAACCCCTTGGTGTCACACACCACAGTCACGTGTTGTGTTCTTGTTCTTTCAGTGTTGATGCTACAAAGGAGACGAATCGTCTGGGAAGGTTAATTAATCACAGCAAGTGTGGCAATTGTCAGACCAAGCTCCATGACATTGATGGTGTGCCTCATCTCATCCTCATTGCTTCCAGGGACATTAAAGCAGGTGAAGAACTGTTGTACGACTATGGAGACAGAAGCAAAGCTTCCATTGAAGCTCACCCATGGCTCAAACACTAATTCATCTTCTTTGGTTTGGTTGGGGTTTTTTTTTTCTTTTCTGGACTGAGTGTTCTACAAGGAGTCAGTGGATTTTTATTTTTTTTTCCTGCCCTCACTTCCCTCAGCTTTCTTAGTGGACTGCTTATGGTCTTCCAAGCTCCTTAAAAACTACCTTTTGGCTTTGCAGTATTTAAATACCTATGACAGTTTTCCAGGCAGGCTTGAATAATTGATCTTAGATTGCCAAAACTTTTCTATCACGATAGAGAACCATCCCTAAAATCTGAATGCTTCTGTATAGTGCCCAGTGCCACTTGAGCAGTCCAAGACTTGCATGGAAACTTGATCACTGGGGTTGTGCTTCTGCCTCTGCAACGAAACCTCACACTCCCCTCTGGGGTGGTGACCCTGGCGTTAGCTTTATGACAGCAGATGTACTTCTGTGCTCGTGTTCATCCAGTGGCTTGACTGCCTGTCACACCACTTGTCACAGCCCAGTGCTGACAGGCTTCTCTGACATGGATGCTACTATCATTCTCCAGTAATTCGTGGTAGGTTTTCCAGCCTTGTATGTTCTGTTCTGGTAATGAACTGGAAATACACTGGCACTGAGGGGAAAGGATGGTCAGACTGGCTTCAGAGGAATGACTCCAAGCCACAGGAGGATGCATTTCCATGGACTGGGTTGGTCCTGAGTACACAGGTGAAGACAGAACTTCACAGTGAGAATCGATGTTTGACATGACTTATTTTCTAAACTTTCAGAAGGTACCTTTTTATAGTTGATGGCTGATTCTTGGAGGTGTCTCCCAGAGGATTTTAAAGAAGTTCAAGCTCTCTCCAAAAAAAGGGTTTTTTTATTACCTTCCTATGCTAATTAGCCACATCAGAAGCTATTTATTTACTGTGAATGCTTGAAGTAGAGCATAGTGGTTCCAAAAATAGGAATGATCTTCATATGCAGCTTCAAACTGTTATGATGGAGTTCATACAGTGAAGAAAATAGATTTCTTATTGCCTGGTCCTGTAGGTCTGTCCAGCATGGTTTGGTCCCACTGTCTTACATGGGAGTCAAGCACTTAGCATCTCATGGATGTTTGGAACATTACTGTTGGAGAACTAAATCTGGGATATAGGCAGGCAATACAATGCAGGTCCTTTATGTTAAAGATTAATTCTTACCAGTTGGAATTTTTGCCAAGGCAGGCTTGGCATGTGTGTAGATGAAAATGGCTGTGAGCCATCAGCCACACTTGCTGCTGGGAGATGTCAGCAAGGGATCTGTGGCTCTGTTAATGTCTTCTATTCCTCATGTCTTGAAGGTTGCTGCTGTTCCAGCTGAATGCCCTCTAGGACAATCTTAGATGCTTGCCTATGTGATAGGTCAGATAGCAACACCATCCTGGTTGTGTGCTCCAGCAGCAAGAGAGGTGGCTTAGTGATGTATTTTTTAAATTAAAAACTTGAAGACAATGTGTAAAATAAAGAATATATTTATTATTGATGAAGTGGCTGCTATACTACCTGTCTCCATTGCAGATCATGAGCGTTTTGAAAGAAAGCTGTGAAAATCCTTAGCTATTCAATGCTTTATATTATCTACTGCTTAACACAAGGCAAACTCAACAGAGCCAGCCTGGGAATTTTCACATTTTTGAAGAGTTAACTGGAGACCTGTTACCTTACATGTACTGAGTTTCAGGTAAGCCTCACTGGCCAACTTCCCTGAGTTGGCACTGATTTTTCTCTGGTCTCAGTAAGAGACCTCAGCAGTGTGTACAGTGTCCTGTTAAACTAGAGCACTTCCCTGAAGTCAAAATTCTGGTCTCAGTAAGAGACCTCAGCAGTTTGTACAATGTCCTGTTAAACTACAGCACTTCCCTGAAGTCAAAATTGGAATAAAGTTTTTGGGTTTGGTTTTTTTATTTTAGTTTATTTAAGAACTTGCTTGGTTCTCTATCAGGTCGAATAGCTTAAAACCTCTGTTCTTCAGCATCACTTTTGTAAACAAGGAAGGGGGAAGATCTCCCTGTCTTACATAAAAGGAAAGTTTGTTTTCTCTGAAAGGCTGAACTGGTACTTAAGTGCACTGTGTCAGGATGTGGAAATAAAGCTGATGTTGCACTGCATGTGTATCCTTCACTTTTCTAGGAGCTGACATAGATATCAGTATACTTCTACAGGAACATGCCCTTTGGATGTTTATCTCTGTGCCTTATGGGAAGGTTTCATCTAACGAGGTGTAAAGCACTTTGCAGAGAAAGATGCCCTTGGACTGGGAGCTAAGCTGCTCTTTTTATACATCCCTAGGTAAACCACAGAAGAGGATGGAGTTCAGAGCACATCTCTCGAGCTTAGAGGTGTATCCTGGTTGTTGCTGATTCATGATTGTTTCTTTTTTTTTCCTTTATTTTTTTTTTCTGAGCACAAAGCCTTTGCCAAGGCAATGCAGTAACTTCCTTCCCTGCTGCTGTTGCTGTAGTAAACACATTGTGGGGATGTGGCCAAGGCTTATTCATGTTTTGAAGATGGCAAAACGACTTTGGCAGTTGCATGCCCTGGCTAAACCAACGGGCTGAGGTCAGACAGCTGTGATGTTGCCCTGCTAATGCACAGCTGCTCATGAATTCTCTCTGCAGGGAGAGGCTGCAGCTCTGCCTTCTGCTAAGCCACATTCACATTGTGCATCTGAGCAGATGTGGGAAGTGTCCTATATTTTTTTCATGCTGCCACTGTGTGTGAGAGAGAGGGAATCAAAAGATTTCAGAGCCTGCTTTCACTTCTGAAGAGAGTAAGATCACAGTTTGATACCTGTCACTGCTCCTTTTATGTCTGTTCACTTTTCTGCTCTGGATATTCCTACCTTTCTAAATGGGGAACCTAATTGCATTCTTTCAAGCTGCTTTTTCCCCTGCCCTGCCCTAGATGCTTCCACTAGTGATGAATCTCATTACTGGGCCAATACACAGCTTGTGGCAGTTGATTGAAAGAACAGAGCTTAGAAAAACCACAACTGCCTACCACAGGAGACCTTCAGCTGTCAGAAATGAAGTGTTTGGTGCATCTGTTCCAGTCTGAGCATGTCTGCACCTCAGTCCTTCGTGTGGGCAGAGCACAATGCAGCAGCTTTTCTTCCCTTGCTGTGCCCTTCTCCACTGTCATTCATCTCAACCCCAAACAGCCACTCATGAATGGCATGTAGCTCTTAAAAATATCTTCATCTTGCAAAATGGTTTGGGCTGAGCATTTTGAGAGCTGGACAGGATGAAGATGTTGTAGTACAGTTCACCACAGGCTCTTCTAGTAAGAATAGAACCCACTTTTATATAAAAATTTATTTCCTAGGTGTGGGTAATGCCTGACAGGAATCTAAGAAGTACAAAAAGAGTCTGTTTTAAACAGTTTCTGAAAAAGCAGAGTAAAATCTAGTCTTAAAAAAAATATTATACAGGATGATTTTTGAGATTGCTCATTCTCTGCAGCAGGAGTGATGCTGCTGCTTCCAGTCACTGTCTCCCCCAATGCCTCCAAGGCTCCTCGGTGCTGTTCCAAACAGAAGTGGTTGTGTTCTCCAGGATGCTCATTTCCCATGTTTAAAAGAGAACCTAAAAAACAGCAAGGAAAGAAGGATGTTCCACTGGAAAAGAAGGGCCCTGCAGTCAGATGGCTGTGCCAGTGTGCTCTGCTGTTTGGGGACTTGAGGGACACAGCCTGAGCTCACGACACCGTACAACTGCTTTGCACAGTGTAACCAACCTCTAGGGACAGCCACTGTGTTCCCACAGCTCAGGCCTGAGGTGCTGGCAGGGAAGGCAACTAACACATTGTTTTGCTCTGAAATGCTGTTTTTCCTAGCAAAAAGTGACTCCCTGCTTGCCTGGGTGGAGGTTGCCTTCCTGGGGAGTGTTTTTTCTATAGGAAATGATTTCTCTATCAGGTTTTTAATTTTACAGGGAGAGGAGAAAACAATATCCAACCAACTAGGCCAAAGTTGAGCATCCATCCCTGGATTCAGTGTGTTTGGAGCATGCCATACTCTCCCAGATTCTGCCCAAAAAGCTGCAGACAAACTTACAGCCGTTTGATGATTGTCTTCTCTTCGCTGACCTTGCTGCTGCCAGCCCTGCTGCCACTGGCTGCTTTTTCCAGTTCCTCAGTTTGGTCCCTTCTCTGTGAGATGATCCCACTGGGAAAAGAAAGGAGTTTGCTTATTTTTCATGGGTTTGTGCACACTGGGCAGCTGGGACGTGGGTGAATGGATGTTCACAGGGCAGGGATGGCAGCTCAGCCTCTCCCTTGTAATGAACTCTGCAATGTGGTGTTGCTGGGGCTGTGCTTTGATGGGAACACTAAAATGGGAACAAGCTGACTTCTCCACAGAGGAAAAATGGCAAATCATAATGGAAGTGAAAGGGAAGTGTGTAATTACACATTGGATTTGTACAAAAGTCCAAGGATAACAGGAGGGTGCAGACACGAGTGGTGAATTTCTGCATGGGTGGATCTGTGGTACCTTCAGCACAGCCATGAAGGCTCACACCAGGGCTGGAAACAGATGGGAGATTCCCAGCTCCCCTGCAAAGCAGGTGGCTGTTCCTCTTTCCACCCTACAGAGGAGAGAAGAAAGGCTTTGCCTCAGCTCTAGATTTTGGCATCTCTTTGCTGTTTCCACACTCTACAAGTTGTAACCACCTACTTCAGGCAACAGCTTCAGTTTTACCAAAGGATGTTTTCCCTGCTGGGAATAGGGTTAGACTTTCCCAGCCTGCACACTACAGTGTTTTCACAGAGTGCCAGTTGCTGTCCTGAGCTGACCTCATTTATTTGGAGAGCAGAGTGGATCAAAGCCTGTTACTGCAGTAGCTGAAGGCTGAGAGTAGCCAAGCAACACTTGTCTGGACTCAGAAATAAAAACACAGAGCACCTAGAAACTGGTGTGACATCAGGCACAGGATAATTCTCAGGCAGATTCTCTTGGAGAAACAGAGCTGTGAGCTGTCTGGTGACACTGCAGAGCTTTAATATCTGCATGATAACTTCTACCCAGAGATCATGATGAAGAATGCAATCCCCAAGCACCATCAGTTGCTGTAAGCCACTCTGTGAGGATCTTTGTTACCTTGTGCTGTACAGAGCTTAGTTCCACTGTACACAATAGAACTTACCTTCAATATCCACAAGGCATTTTAGATCATCTGTTTAGCCTCTTCCCCTGCACAACTGCACCTTAGGGCTGTACAATCACAGTTAGGATTTTATGGGACTGTTCAAAGGGAAGATGGTTTTTGGCTTGAGCTGTAACACTATGAGATAACCACATGGAATCACTTGAACTGGACAGCAGCCCTGACCCACTCAGGGCACAGCACTGTGAGTCAAATCACTAAAAAACTGAAAACATTCCCACTGTTAATTTTTAACTTGGCCTGTAATAAAGCTGTATAACAGCTGGGAAATCAACGCAAGGAGCCACTCCCCTGGCTGCCCAGCAAAGCATCCGGCTGAGCTGGGGAAGTACTGTCAGGCAGTTTGTAAATTCTTGGATTTATCTTCTT